GAGGCTGCGGTGGCCGGGAGCAGCCACTGCACTCCAGTCTGCGTGACTGAGTGAGACTCCAACTCAAAAAAAAAAAAAAACGAAATTGAGGTTTTGATTCTGGAATCTCTAACCTGTTCCAATAAGAGATAAGACAGACAAGTGGAACTTCATCAAACTGAAAAGCTTTAGTACACAAAGGAAACCATCAAGAGAGCAGGGAGACAGACCACAGAATGGGAAAAAAGTATTTACTAACTGTTTATCTGACAAAGACCTAACATCCAGGATCTACAAGGAACTCAAATGTGCCAAAAAGAAAAGGACAGGGGTTTGGGACTAGCCTATGCAATTTGGTGAGACCTCGTCTCTGCAATAAATCAAAAAATAAGCCGGGTGTGATAGCACATGCCTGTAGTTCCAACTACTTAGAAGGCTGAGAAGGAAGGATCACCTGATCCCAACAGATCAAGGCTGCAGTGGCTGTGAGTGTGCCACTACACTCCAGCCTGGGCAACAGAGATGCTGACTAAAAAAAAAAAAGAAAGAGAGAAAAACCAACCGCCCTATAAAAAAGTAGGCAAAATATTTAAACAGACACTTCTCAAAAGAAGACATACAAACGGCCAGCAGATACATGAAAAAAAATTCAGCCTCACTAATCATCAAAGAAACACAAATCAAACCACACTGAGATACCACCTAACTCCAGTCAGGATGGTCATCATTAATAAATCAATAAACAACAGATGCTGAAGAGGATGCAGAGAAAAGTGGACAACTCTACACTGTTGGTGAGAGTGTACATTAGAACAACCTCTGTGGAAAACAGTGTGGCGATTTCTAAAAGATCTAAAAATTGACCTTCCATACAACCCTGCAATCCCCCTTCTGGAAATATACTCAGAGGAACTCAAATCATTCTACCAAAAACATACCTGCACATACATGTTTATTGCCTCATTATTCACAATAGCACAAATATGGAGCCAACCATGCTGTCTACTGAAAGTGGTGGATTTTTAAAATGTGCTACATATATGCAATGGAATATTACATAGTCATAAAGAAGGACAAAATTATGGACTTCACAGCAACTTGGATGGATTTAGTCTATCAGACTCAGTGATCTATCACAGAAACAAAGAACTGAATACCACGTTCTCTCTCATAAGTGAACCTTCAACATTTATCGTATCACCACAAGAAAGGGATTGGTGGTAGCAGGACACTGCTGGGGTAGGGTACCTGAACATAAACCAGGAGAAGTGAGGACCAATGGGAGGCCCAAACTTTTTTTTTCTCTCTAAGAAGAGTTCATTATAATGCAAATATTAAGGTCTAAGAATGACAATTATCTGGGGGAAAAAAGCTTAAAGATGATGTGCAAGAGCATAATAAGAATGCATTCTGAGTTAAGAAGTACAGGCTGGGTACAGTGGCTCAAGTCTGTAATCCCAGCACTTTGGGAGGCCAGGGTGAGGGAATTTCTGAACCCACAGGCTTGAGAACAGCCTGGGCAACTTGGCAAGACCTCATCTCCACAATAAATCAAAAAGTTAGCCAGGAGTGGTAGCACGTGCCTGTAGTTCCGACTAATTGGAAGGCTGAGGCAGAAGGATCACCAGAGCCCAGCAGGTTGAGGCTGTGGTGGCCTGGAGCATGCCACTGTACTCCAACCTGGGCGACAGAGTGGGACTCCAACTCAAAAAAACAAAAAAATGGTGACTACTGAGGCAGTCTGGAAATCTACTAAAGTACTTGGCACTAGCTCACCATCCGCTTAACAGTCCCCAGGTAAATATCAGGGCACTGAAACCCAAATTAATTTCTTAATTAATACAGTTGCCAACCATTTGATCCTGGCCATATAAATCACACAGCCTTGTCTTAATCAAAAGTTACTAAAGGTTAATTCAAATTATAGATGTAAAGAGTTATCTATTTTTAAAAAGGTAAAAAAGAAAGACCAGAAAGCAAAGGAAAAATGTAAAAGAGATTGCTGGTATAAATGTATCTTTTTGGTATTAAAAAGAAAGGATATAAAGACAAGAGAATAATTTGGTATAGTAAATTTTTGTCCTATAATAAAATAACTAGTTTTTAAGAAGGAGGAAAGTATAGGATAAAGATAAAAAGTTCAGACATATTGTAAAATAGTATGTGTAAGGCTTATGAAAAAATACGTAAAAAACACATGAACAATCAAGTTTACAAAATTTTAGCCATTTCTATGAATTAACAATTAATATCAATTACACTAATGCTAGGCCAAAATGCTACTCAGAAACCAGAACAGGAGCCTCTTAATTGATAATCTCCAAAAGATTTTTCAAGTAGGAGAGGAAGCAACAGATTCACCTGCTGTCTTTGTTGGCTTTCACTGTTTTAAAATCTCCTCTATTAAGAAGAGAGGGGGTTTTTTTACTTCTCAAAGTCTTTGGACGATCACTGTGGCTAAATTAATAACTTTCACAATGGCCTGTAATCATGTGTTAATATCATGCTTTTAAAACTTACAATGTTTAACAAACATTTTAACACATAAATTTCAAATTTAATCTTTCTAACCTTTTAAAAAAATTTTAGTATTAGGTTTCCTGAAATCTAAAAAAACACAACTCATTTGGTATGCAAAAATCATACCAAAAGCACTGTCAAGCAGGACAGGATGTTTAAACTTTCTTAAGGTAATACTTCCCTGTCAAAGGCAGAAGACCAATACCACCCCTTAGCCAACCAAAGAAATGATAATAAGACCAACTTTTATCTCATAAATTTGTGAA